AAATCAGAGGCCGATAACTGTCTACCGTATGGGTGGAAACCATCAGTAAAACAGCTTTGATACTCAGAATTAAACATGAAGAGTCTGAAAAGCGAGTGAAATTCTGGCCGTTCTAGAAAGTAGGTTAGTAGATAATTGCTCCCTACCTGCATAATTGCGATTATTGTTTTCTAATCAAGGACTCCCAAGGTGATTGAAATGACAGAAATTAGAATTTTACCTAAAAAACATTGTTATCCTACCCACATACTAGAATAACTATGGTTACCTACTTTCACACCTTTGGGTTTCATGAGTGTCACTGTGGATTTACTTGACTCAAAAATTTGTTACGTTTTAAACCACGTGCTATTCTCACTGCGCAAATATGAAATGTCATCTCATCGGAAGCTCAGAACTACTAGTATAGATTTGGTTGGTAAATAATGAATTCTCAAGTTCTTCTTGTTTCACTCACTAGTATGAAAAATTAAAGGAAAACATGTGTTGGTTTGATGGAAGAAAGTGGTAATTTTACAAGAACAAAAACAAAATCAATTGCATATATTAGATTTAACAGTGATATCAGTCCAATGGCGAAGAAACTGAATTGCTGTTCAAGTTCGGTAAAGTGGCCGATGTGATGAACATGAGGTCTAGGGATGTTAAAATATGAATTAATTAGTCAGAGTACCGGAAAATATAACGGAAGATTCAGTTTAATGTGACCGCTTAAAATGTTATCTTACGGACTTGCTTGTCTAGTAAAAAGTGACATGATGAGGAGGCATACTTAAGTATGACTGCAACAAAATGTCACTATAAAAGCTCCTGGCTGACTGGTCACCGGTCAGTACTGCTGCCTTACTGGTTTGTATGTGACTGGCTGGAGGTGATATTACACTTCTTACTTCAAAACGACCGCAATCATCTTCCATCGTTATGCAGCGAAAAGCGGTTTTTAATTGCAAAGTCTTCGTTTGGTTTATTTTTTGGGACACTAAAAATCGTGCGTCCCTGAAGTTGCTAAGGCACACGCAGATATGCGCACATTGATACGCGGAAACTAGATAAAAGTTGGTGTCTTTCCAAATTGACTGGCAATATTACCTGGCACTCTCTGTGTTCTTTGCACACTTTTCACTCTGAACAGCATGTTGACTTCAATTCTCACGCTTCTTCCTCTCACTGTACTTCTTGAGGAACTTGTCTCACGGAATGATTTATCAAACAGATCATTTTTCCTTACCATATTAAAGATTCAGACAAAACTTGACGCATAAAAGTTATCAACCAGATAGATAGAATAACTAACACCTTAAACGTATCCTCAGCTAACTTTCCACTTAACCAATGTTTTAACGAGAGTTTGATCAACTTGTGCTAGAGGAGCTTAACGCAGTCATAGCTTCTAAGCTTTGGGTCATTACTTCTAGATCAGTTTCGTAACAAAATCCCCAACTTATCACAGAGTAGGTGTTTTTCACTTTAGTCGCACAAACATACCTACCCCAGGCGGGAAGGTTCAGTGTCTGAAATAGAGAAACAAATTCAAGCCAGCCTCATTCAGCCAACGGGGAGCTTATTGAATGCTTCACTCCGGTGACATTCAAAGGAAGGCCGAACGCATTCAACTTACGCAATTTATCCCCGCATTCACCGCTTCTGATCCGCTGAGGCTAACCTACTTAGCTTTTGGTGTACCCAAGGTCTTAAAAGAGGTTGCGTGATATAAAGAAGTGGTTTGATGCTGGTGCTATTCATTATTTCCTCAGAGTTGTCAAACCTAACTATTCAGCTGCAAATACTCAAATACTCAAATACTCAGCTGCGTTATCTAGATACATAGGGAGTAAATATCACGTTCGTGAAAATACCGAATAAAAGGCTGACCATCCGAAAAGTGAATAGAACTTAGACTCATTGAGAGTCTGTTCAAATTACAAATTACACTCCAAACCTGAAGAAGGGTACATGCATTTATGTCCAATGCACAAAACTAACTGTTAAAATGCAGCGAAATCGATGAATAAACCCCCATTTTTAGTTTGAACGTTTGAAAACACGTAGGGCATTCCTTCAGCAAAGTTCGAGTTCATGGGCCCATAGAAGCAACTAGTAGCAATCGAAGGTTGCATACTGTTGCCTAACCACATCCATTAAAAGTAATATTGCTTCATTTTTGTAGACTTCAGCGAGTTGGAAATAGTTCTAGAAGACATCATTGTAACTAATTATAATAGATGCAGCCTCCGGCCTCCAGCCAACAATGATAAAAATTGAAAGCCCATGGCAATCAATTCAAAAAAGCTTACAAAAGATACACCATCTGACTGAGTCACAGTAAACAAGTTGACTATTGTGGATTTCTGTAATATGAATGTAAGCAGCACTTCCGCTAAAAAAACCTAGTCAGTTACCACGAGATGAAATTTTTACCTCATTTGTTGGGTGCGGAGAAAAGAATCAATATACTTCGACTGCAGAATTCACGGAAGACATCAAATTTACGGTACATTCAAATCCTAGTATATCATAAAAAGAGACTACTTTCAATATGATGGGTAAAACTTTAGAGTGAATGGCAAGATGTAAAACGTGTGGTGGTAAAGCAGGTCGTGGGATGCCGAAAGGTTTTTGGGAACAATCTGAGCAGTGGTTCGCATGAAAACCTATTCTTACGCCCTGGCAAAGTAATTGGAACCAACAATTATGATGTAATTCACTACTCATAAAGTTGCTGAAGATTCTTTGACGGGTCACACGCAGTTTCACAAACAAGAGATTCAGTTGATTTCTGGGTGATTCTCTCGAAAAACCAAATTTATTTGCAAATGGGTGTATTTTGCTAACAATTCCGATGCTTTCGTTTAGAACATATATCTTGGAAAGTGTCGAATTAACGTCACGTTAAGGCTAGAAGTTTAAAAACTGATTTTATATGTAGGTGCTTTGTATAACTGTCACGTGTCATATGTCGTACACCATATTTTATTGCAAAAGAAACGACATTCACTGTGTAAAATGGGAGCAATTCGCGAACCGTCATATGACAATGTGAGGCCTCTGAGATCCAGTTATATTAGCTATGTGAGCAAAAGGTTGGTGACAGCTGACTTACCAACTATATACTTCCGTCCTGTGCCTCTAAGTCCTTTTAGGCCCTCAGGATTCTAAAGTAACATGGCCTTATTGGAATACTCAAGATTTAAAGGTCCGTACATTAGCAGCTGCAAGGCCTCCCAAGAAGGAATTCATCTTCACCATAGTTGGGGAATAAACCTTAGGTTTTTCTGGTGTGCTGCACTGAAAACACATTTAGAATTCGTGTTACAAAGCTCGGTTAATAGCTGAATTCAACTCTAAAAGGAAAGTCAGCATCATCAGTTCAGAGAATGTGAAAGACTGACTGAGATGCATTTTTAACTTTAGAGTATAAGATCATATAGGTTTCTTTTATGAGAATGAATTGTTTGTTTGGGAGACAATCAGACCTTTCCAGAGTTTTTTAAGACCTCCTAATAAGGAGGAATTATTACACAGTGCTACTTGGCCTGTCAGTTTAGCGTGGTAAAATCCAGTTTAAGCAGACATTCTTATAAAACTGGAAAACTGTTTCTGCTGTGTGCAGCAGACACATTATACTGCTGATGAACCATTATTTAGTGGGGAAGTTTGAGTTTGGGCGCAGTTCTGCATCGTACTTTCAGAAAGACAAAAGTCCTCTTAAATGAACGAAGTGTTACGGAGCTGCGGTTCCCCGAGGCTGAAACCATTAAACAATTTTGGTTAGCAGTGTGCGGTGCGAAACTTGTGGGTTTGGTATTCACCAACTCTCACTTCTCAGACATGAAAGTCCTGTTTCGCTTGGCGTACACTGGTGAAACAGCAGTAGTATTCGCTTCTAGCGCATCTAGGACTTTGACCCCGAAGCCGCCAACATACGCTCTGATGACCGTTGATTTGATCGCTGAGCTGGGCAAATTGGACTACTAATGTTCTATTCATTTTCAACGATTTACACTGTTGTTGTGCTTCATTAAAGTTGATAGTAGATTTCAATATTTCTCGGTCTGTTGTGAGTGAAAAGACATAGATGGCCTCCAAATAGGGTTCATCATTCTCACAAAATTGGATGAACAGTTAATGCAAAACGATCAGAAAAATCTGCATCTATCACTTGTTTGTTGAGTCACATAATACGCTGAGTGGAGAATTCTCCACTTGATCATAGTTGTCAGAAAACTGTTTGATTGACCGAGATACCATTATTTACGGTCGGAATCTATTAATAAAAAAGCTTGAAAATCCTTACGTTCATCACTCATTTTAGAAATTTAACCAGAGTTTCTGGACCACTGATTTTTTCTACAAATATGACTTATCGCCTTTTGCTTGGTAAGGGGCTTCCGTGGGTTAAATTCACCATTACACTGTTGTTGTGCTTCATTAAAGTTGGTAGTAGATTTCAGTATTTCTCAGTCTGTTGTGAGCAATTATGTCTTCCCATAAAAAGACATAGATGGCCTCCAAATAGGGCTCATCATTCTCACAAAATTGGATGAACAGTTAATGCAAAACGATCAGAAAAATCTGCATCTATCACTTGTTTGTTGATGTAGACCCAAACAAACACAAATTCGGAGTCACATAATACGCCGAGTGGAGAATTCTCCACTTGATCATAGTTGTCAGAAAACTGTTTGATTGACCGAGATACCATTATTTGCGGTCGGAATCTATTAATAAAAAAGCTTGAAAATCCTTACGTTCATCACTCATTTTAGAAATTTAACCAGAGTTTCTGGACCACTGATTTTTTCTACAAATATGACTTATCGCCTTTTGCTTGGTAAGGGGCTTCCGTGGGTTAAATTCACCATTTTGTAGTCTTACATAAATGGTCTCAACAGCTGCACTGACCGTTATCCACTAGTTGTGACAAATTGTTTGGATAGATCGCTCTAATTGATACATGCGAGTGCTTCCACAGTTCATCGCATTCTTGCTGTTTGGTTTAGTACGACGGCATGACAAAAGAAGACAGCTGGTTGTTGGAGAGCGCCCAAGTTTTACATCCGCTTACACGAAGACGTTATATGTTCTTGTGCAACCACTGGTTTTCCCTGTATAAAGAAGATGGCCGAGTGGAACGAGAGCTACTTGGAGTGCGAAGCGTCGAAACTAGTAAGTGAACAACTATTCGATTAAGAATGATTAAATTTCTTTTAGAATACACTATTCTTGTGGTCACTGGGGATCAGGAAGGATGTGGTACAGACAGCAACGTTTTCGTTACCATTCATGGTCGGACTGGAATTACGCCGCGTATTGAATTAGCACCAGAACTGTTGAGAGAAAATAGCACGAAGCATCTGCCGTTTACCAGAGGAACTAGCAGTACATTCACTGTGCGGGCTCCCAGTGTCGGTGCGTTGACTAAAATTCGAATCAGTCAGAATGCATCGGGACGTTTCCCACACTGGTTCATTGAACGTGTTGTTGTAACGAATTTGGCCCATCCAAAGTGGACTTATTACTTCAATTGTTCCTTTTGGTTGTCCCCATCTTACGCGGATGGAAAGCTCAGTCGACTGGTCAGGGGATTCCGCGAACCAACAGGACTTGGAGGAGGTAAATGAAGAAATAGACTGGAATTAAGGAGCACGCTAAACTAAAAAGTAGTGAGAGCTATCGATGTAAGATATTCACTGAAATATTTGCTGCAAACTATCTGTTACTTATCAAGTCCGATGTTCCACAAACTGCATTGATGTTTGCGATAGAAACAACCTTGAGCCGTGATGGTTGCTATTCACCTTCAAGCTATCACTAGCGGGAGTACGACACAAATCCTATTCCATTTCAGAACCGAAGAGTCATGCATCTGGCGAACAATATGTAAGAAACAAGAGAATAAAATATCTCCCTTTGTAGACATCATCATTGAAGAAAGTGACTTCATTTGCTCTTCTGATACTGATAATATATATAGGCGTCTGGATAAAAGTTAAATAAACCAAGTCAAGTGAAGTCAGGAATTGCGATACACCTGCAACAGAGAGTGGACTTACGGTGCTTCGGGCGAGATGGACCAAGTTGTTAGAGCGCGAATTTACTAACCGGAAGGTCTGTCGTTCGAACCCGACTTCTGCCTCTCGACCCTCCTTGTCTAGGCTTAGGCAACCTGGCAGTATCTCAGCCCTCGTGTTCCCTTTGAGTGGCATGGCAGCTAGGCACCGAATGGGTGCTAAAGCTGAACGATTTTTATAGTTCTTCGAGTTAACTAAACTGGTTAGTGGAGTAATACAGTACTCATAAGGTTGTCGAAAACTGTTCTATAATTTTTGTCCTTTTTGTGGCTCATCAGTTAGGCGCAATCCCCGAGTTCCCGTCAACCTTATGTTTTACTTGAATCCAAATTGCACGAAATTAGAGAAATACGCACTTGCAATACACTGAGTTGCCAAAAAACATCGTAAGAAGAAACTCAGCTTGTTTCCAGGTGAGTCACTCGTCAAAATCAAATTTGTATGCAAATGAGTGTATTTCGCTGTAAAAAAATCGTTCAGCTGCAATACTCTTCCGGTGTCTAGCTGCCATTCCACTCGGGGGAAGACCAAAGGCTGAGATACTGCCAGGTCTCCTAAGCCTATACAGAGGAAGTCGAGAGGCAGAGGTCGGGCTAGTGTTCTCCGATCGTATGAGAAAATTGCCTTTTTGTCGAAATTACCCGAAGGAGATCCAGCGCGTCTTTTTAGCGCGTCAGAATGCATACTCTTCCAAGTATCTTCCCAGTATTTGCCTCCTGAACAGCACCCTAATGTCAAAAATCTACATCCCATGAAGGTCACGACAACCTTTTCAGCGGCATCCATCAAAGACAGACAACTTATGGCAAAATTCAGCAAAACTCTATCCAGCTTTGTTCATAAAAGGCTTTTCGGTCGTCACGGTAACCAATGTCCGTCCTTGTGCTTCGCGACTCTATTTTTGACACTGCAATAAAACAACAAAACGTAAAGCGGTTAGGTTGCTTTAGGGTGGTTGCTAGCATCTCTGAGCTCTGATATGGGTGATGGGCACGGCGCAGTTTCGCACTGTTTGCCTACTTTCTCCTACAAACGATTCATTGAGTATACAGCCTGAGGGGGTTTCTTAGCTTCCATCTCACAGTATCGACGGTCGACACAAAGTAATCATATAGTAATCATCAGCAACGACAGTAAAATATCTTTATTTAACAATGACGCTGCACTATCGTACAACCATAAATTATTTGAAAGCCGTATTGGGAAGAAAGTAATAAAAGTGAATGTGGAGGAGAATTAGTACTAGCTTGCCACTCCATTGATATCGACCAGCACACGTCTTGCACCATCACTAGCATACTCAGAGGAATCACGTGGACCCAATCACGGAAGGCGAGTAGCACCGACAATACCCAGATTTCTCGTGATCCCTTCTACCGGGTCAAAGGTTGAATAACTGTTTGCTTGCACGCATTTGGATTTGGAGCAAACAACAAAACTCTTGGACGAAAGATGAATAGAAATGCCCTGTATATGGCCTAAGCATCGAAGCTCTCGTTCTCAGAAGCCATCTTCGATTGAAGTCCCCGTTTCACAACTGAATGCTTGCTTTCCAGTTACCTGATTGCCAATTCGCCGCCATCAGCATACAAGAGGAATGGCTCTGGGACAACGTGTGTACGCCCATTTGTGAATTAAAATGTTACCGATGGAAGCCTCAAGTGAACCACATCTGAAGAACATCACAGGCGGAAGATTTTGCAGCAACTTCATGCGATTTCATCATTGAAGTATACTTCAGTAACTGGTGTCAAGTGAAACACGGGGCAGCATTTGTGCGGCACATTCACTTGAAGATTCAGCTGAGCTAGAGTTGAGTCTTTCGTCAGCATCGAGTTAATTTCAAAATGGATGAATTTCGCAATGATGTATCCATCTGCTAGATATGATACTCTGTTGCAAATCACCCAGACTATATGTGATAGAAAAAAGTAATATTAGGTTGTCATTTAGATCTGACGACTGCAGAGCTTGGTGATGGAGATGAAATTCATCGGAATAGATTACTAGGACCTTTGTCATGTTCCGGTACCATACAAAACCTAAGGCATAGTTCTTTTCACTCAAGGCGGAAACAAAAGTAATTTCGGATCCAGACACTCACTAAAGAACGCGATGAAAACAGAATGCGCTGAGCTGCATCAACTGCCATCCAATTAGGACTGCTTCTGATTGGTCGGGACAGGTTCAACTAACGAGCACATTTCTGACGACACTGGTGAATAAAAAATCTATATTGCAGCCACAGATACACCGTTATTCTTTTCTCTTCACGCTGATCATTTCTCTCAACATTGTCCAGGAGAAGTCTGGAAGCAGTTACGAAGGGAATCTGTGGGTTTTTACACGTAAAAGTGCACAGGAGGTGCTTTTCAATATTACATGGAGTATTGTCTTGGAGAGACTTAGTACAAGGTGTCTGAAGCGTATTGTATTTGCTTCACCCTAAAAACCGAGTGTCATGGAGCAGTCCTAGCCTATTTAATATTAATTACACCAGTGTTATCGATGGAATTGAGCTATTGCATAGTTCTGTAGAGGGCGCAAAACGACTCAATTCTTAGAGTTTGAATTTCTTCTCATTCAGAAAACTGAGCTGTCTCCCTTGCGATGATAACTTGTGAAATCTTCGTGTCCCCTTTGGGATCATCTGCTGCTGTTTGTTGTAGTGTGCAGGTTTACAGGGTTTTGATTCTCCTACACTGGGCCACACATATCGGTAATGTACCGATTATGCTCAAGTGACCGCAAGCAACCACAGCTGATCTCATGAAGAGCGAGATTTACAAGATACATCTGCTGTGGGGTTGAAGGAAGTCAGTTTTCTGATCTCACTTGTTTACTTGTGATCTTTTAAGAGGGGATTGAAAAAATTTACTTACGCATCAACTTGGTTGCTTTTAGAAATTCCTTCTCGCCCACATGTTGCTCTGCAACTTACTCCATGAGACTGAGTTTAGAACGTGTGACAAAGATGGCTTTGTGTATGAGGTGACTGTAAGAAGCAAGCGATTTGCGTGGAATCGCACTACAACGATTGCTGATGGAGCTGGTGTAAAGCGGTCTATTCTAAACGTTGTAATCACTGGTTAGACAGAATCTCCTAACTATTGGAGGTTTCTGGTTTTCACGCTTTATTTTATCGCCTTGTTAATAAATCGAACCCTTCAAGCGAACTCAGTGGCAGTTGGCTTTTCAAAGCATCGGTGCAATTAGAAACTCTCTAGAGGGATAAATTTCGAGGGGTAATATTAGACCATCTCTTTTAAAGACACTGACACCTTCAAAGCAGATAACTGATATGATGTTTGACCGGTGTGAACAGAGACATGGATGCGTCTTTAGTCGATCGATATCCGCCGTCTCAGATATATAATCCCGGTGGGAAAACGAGCAAGCAACCCGGGACGGTGATGTGTTGGGCCCTCCGAACCATCGTTTCCCAAAGCAGTGTTGCTTCCCGTGTATAATTCAGACTGATACAATCAGAGGGAAGTTCTGTTTCTGAACTGGTAGACATATGGAAATGGTAAAAATACGTTTCGGCATGCTTGTGATAGGCTTGAATTAGGTCCATACTCTCTCTAAAGTTGGACTTTCAAGCAAGTTGCAGTTGAACATTTCTGCTGTGCTACCGATTTTGGCGGAGCACAAAATTCCTTTATCTGTATCTTAACCAGCTGAATTTTTCTTCTTTTATCAAAATAATAAATGTACATGTTGTTAGACTATGAAGGCTGAACGTGCGACTCAGTGCATCAGCTCCAAATCATGTACCGAAGTGGTTCCATCTAATGTGGTTGATCTTCCAGCCACGACGGCTTGTGACAGTCTAATTTAAATGCCGTTGTTGAATACAAAAATGGCTGACAAATGTTGGTTAGAGCTGTGGTGCAGTAATGTCAGTGAATACTAGGTGAATACTTCTCAGTTTCTTGTTTTATACTATTGAGATCAGTAGTGGATGTGACCGGTTGAGGAATCAAGGATGCTCGAGTTCAGAAAGGTTATAATTTTGGTTTAGAAACTTGAATTTTGCAATTCTGATAAAAACTGTTGCCCACCTTTTCGGCATTCCTGTTACTAAACCTGACAGATATCGCGCAGATAAGTTTCGAGCTTGTAAACGTGTTTCCACCGGCAACGAGTAAATTTGCGAGCCAGCGGCTACTGAGGGAAGGATTACGCAAAGGTTTATTTCAGTAGCAGTTATCGCCACAATAACCCACTTCTCTTTTAGATGAAAAGGATTATAAGGGATCAGTTGAAATTTTTGCATGATTTTCAATCAACACATCCCATAGTGTTCATTAGAATGTATCTGTACTCACGTTCTTGTTCAGAAAGTCATTACATGAATTCAGGAATCCTCCGTTTATTCCTCAATGACTTCAGGCAAATGACTAGATCACATTCATCTCCCTTCCTTTCCAGAAGCCGAGTACCGCCTAACATTCTACACTTCTGATAGACCAGGAGCGGGTACAACCGCTGACGTTTTCGTCCAGCTCCATGGAGAAGTTGGCACCAGTCGCGAGATGTGGCTGAATGATCCATGTTGGATTAAGGAACACACCAAAAAACCAGCAACCCCTATTCGTTTTCCCCGAGGATCCCGCGTTAAAATCCACCTCGCTCCTTGCCAGCAATATGGTTATCTCGAGCGACTAACTGTGGGGCATAACAACCGCGGAGAATCACCGAGTTGGTGTTTAGAAAAAGTGTGTAATTTACCAAAATTCTACTTACTGCAAAAAATCTTTGATGTTGATTCATCTGTGTCAATTAATTGCTTTGATTTGTTTCACAACGCTCAGCCTCAGTCTACTACTGTCGGTCAAAGCTCCTTATTTTGACAGAACGATGGAAGTTTTGACATATCTACTGGTACCTTCTGTATGACATCACCATGCGCATTCTGTCAGCAGCTTAAGCACAGTACTAGTATCGAAGAGAGAGCCAATCCGATTCACTTTTTTGTCTATGTACCACTAGAGTGCATCACTCACGGAGCTCGCGCTATCTCCTAGAAAACTCACTAGACTGATTTGACTGCTGCCTTCTAAGAATTTACGGTTAGCTCAGCAAGCAAGTCGACGCTCGTATAACTTGTTTTCGGGCTTTACCTGGCTTGCTCAGAAAACTATGATCATTTGAATTTGATGGGTGCGCTGATGTTCGGTTGAATTCATAATTAGGTTGCTGCGTCACTCAGTTCCGAGAAACCATGAATTTAAAAACCCAAAGTCTACCCTTCCACTATCAACATTTAAAACCTAATACATACCTCTATTTACTCATCCTTTTTTGCTTTTGAACCCAAGGTAATTGTGGACGAACTGCGACTTCAACGCGTGTTCGAGTTCCCTTGCCGTGATTGGATAGGTCCTCCGTGGTCGAAACAGCTTTACTGCTCCTCGGTACGGTCGAAAGACGGATATCAGGACAACTGGCAAAGTGAGTTGGGAATAGGCCTAAGCGATACAGGTCTGTAAGTGTTTGCGAGCCTAGTAGTACAACTTGTTGAATTACTGACTGTCTGCATAGAAGAAATCCAGGGAGTTCATTGGCTACCCCTTTGTTAAATTGCTCACTTGGGGAGGTACCATATGACTGTCGTAAGTTCCGGGATTCTTCTTGTCTAGTCACAGAAAATCCAACCCGAACTCTCTCTTAGGAAAACATCAGTTAGGGAAGAAAGATGACATTAGTGGTCAGTTAGTTAGTTTTAGCCTAAGCCACCGTACAAATATAACTGAAGCGCAATTTTTGCACGTCCAGGATTTTTTTAAAATCGTATATACGAGCTCATTTGGCCATAAAACCAAAATACTAAGTGTGGAGCACGGCAGTACGTTAATTTGCTTCGAAAATAAAATGCATTACATCTGTCGGTTGCAACCGGTACGCACTCACTCCTGTAGAACAAAGGTGCTTCGAGGTGCACATGATTCTTTTGTCACCACCAGTGTGAGACTGCTTTTGAAGATAAACATGTTGTTCTCTCCGTCTTTAGTGGTAAAACAGATCCATTATCTTTTGAACAGTTCACCTCCTGCCCTGGCGTAGCTATTCTGGTTGGTCCACGCCAAATGGGGAAGAACTGGAATGGAGGTTTGCTGGTAATAGACCTCATCAGTAGTCCATATGTTTGGGTGTGCCGCGTTTAATCTCCGCACAGTGGTTGTTGCTGCCACATTTTCATTCAAGCAATCTCGATTGCGCCAGGGAACTATGAAAAGGCTTGTTTCGATATGCTACTTGAAATTATTCTGTCTCTGAAACCTAGAGAATAGGAAGGCTCTCAAGACATTAGCTCAAAGAACTTAGATAACCTCTGTAACTCTGCAGCACGAATTTGTATTTGGTTCACACCTACAAAATGTAAGATGCAGCTACAAGAATGGATGGGATCATCACAACCTTCATTCTTACAGTCGAACCAATCAACGTTTTGATTACATTTGTTTACTTGGGCAGTTGTATAGGTCTTGATGAACAGGCTCGAAAAGACAGTGCTTCCCAAGTCGGGAAGTTCATGCTATCCATAAAGTTAGCATGGCGTCTAGGGCAAAAAGCTCACTGTGATCGTGCGATCCTTACTATTTCATGAATCAGAAACATGGCCTCTCCGCGCAAAGGACATAGAAAAGATGCCAGTTTTCGACCATCGGTGCCTTCAAAGCATTGGTTGCGTCTGGTGGCAGCATTGCGTTAACAGTCTTGAGGTGGAAATGATGGTTTTAGAAAGAAAAGATGCCAGTTTTCGACCATCGGTGCATTCAAAGCATTGGTTGCGTCTGGTGGGAGCATTGCGTTAACAGTCTTGAGGTGGAACAGATGGTTTTAGAAGGAAGGAAACCTTCCACACTTAATGGGTTACGCTAATTAGGAAATCTGCTTCGCATCCCAGGGTATCGCCCGCCTTGATGAGTACTTTTTGGATGAATGGAAGCCAGCAAGGAGTGGACGGCCTACGATATGACAACGAAGTCTGAAAACGGTGACCAGAGAACTCAGACAAGTCGAAAACCGCCACCATCCTGGATGAGAACCCGGGGACTCAACTCACACATGACCAAGGACAACGCCAGAAGTCTTTCAATCATCTAGTCAATACAGGGGACAGAACACCTTGTTCTTCCAACCGTTGAAGTTCGGCATCTACCAGTGGGAGGGAAGCGTACGGAACTGGTCTCTTTGGACGGAAGATTGGCGTAGCTCCAGGTATGAGGTAGCGGACTGCTTGTGTCGCAGTGCACTGACCGAGACCGGACTGGAAAACAATTGGAAATCGCTTGATAATGTCGGATGCATGATCTGGATGCGCCGTGGGAGACTGAACTGCATTACAAACGACACTGATTGGAATGTCGGCTAACCCCAGGCGATCGAACCAATCAAGACCCAACAGGTTCAACTCAGTTGCCGTTATATAACACGACCCCACGAATGTAGTTCCTCGAAAAGATACACAGCACTGGAGCTCACCGGAAAGTTTTAGCTCTCCACCGCAGGCACTGGTTGCAGTTTGAGCTGCTTGTCTGATCGGAGGTTGCCCGAGCGTGCGCCGAAGCTTCTCCGAAATGACGCAGTGTCCAAATGCAGACAGACTGGATGGCCACTTACAGTGACTGTCAGATACTTCCGGTTACCTGGCGTGTTGATCTGGAAAGTAGCCAGCAAACTGAGAGAGGAGCCAACAGGGTTCGATTTCGGTTTGGGACGGATGCGTGATGATTGCTTTGAAACAGCAGAGGCCGTATGCATCAGTGACTGACAATATCCATCTTTGTGTCCCACGGACTTACATTGGCGGCACCGATGCTTCTTGTAAGGACAGAACCTGACGAAGTGCCAGGCTCCACAGTGCCAACATTGTGAAGGTGGTGTCTTCTTTGAGCCTTTGTTTTGCTTCGGACCAGAACACTGCGAGGTCGATTTGGTTGGGCCAGAATTGACAGGGCCAGGCTGTTGCGTATCCTGGTGTATTGCATGAACCTCGGAACCGCCATGACCCCCGAGTTGGACCATCGCGGTGTCATGCTTCAGGTTAAGCAACCGTTGACACTCCGAGGTGACGGCCTGCAGCGTCATGGATGGGTCCTGCTCGATGCGGCTGAGGAGTCGGGTACGGATTTCTGCATCCTTCGGGGATTGTAGACCACATATGAAAATCAGCGACTTGAACTGATCTTCCGTTAACGATCCGAGTTTGAACCGTTCGCATTCTCGGTTCACGATGCCAGAATATGTGAGGAAGTCGTCTGCATCACTCTTCACTAGCTTCATGCATCGATAACGGATGTTGAAAAGTGACGTTTGCTCACCGAATATTTGTGAAAGCGTGTTGACCGTTTCATCAAAAGTGAAATCGCGCGGGTTTTTTGGCAGAATATAGTTAGCGTACTTATCATGCTCTGCGGGTCCAAGTTTGCGGAGCAGGAGGCGAACCTTCCAACTATCATCTTGAAGTGAAAAATCGACCCTGAACAGGTCTTCATAGCGACGAAACCAAGCATCAAACGTTATGCCAGCTGAGGGTTCATAGCAAAATTCGTTGATACTGCCGCAAATTCCATCAACCGACTGTGGGACGCTCGACACAGCCGGTGAAGCCAAAGATGTAGTTGATAGTCGCTCCGTAAGTATTTGATGATTTGCGGGGGGATATTGATATCCCCAACAGAGAACCCGGGGACTCAACCCACACATGACCAAGGACAACGCCAGAAGTCTTTCAATCATCTAGTCAACAATAAACCTGCATCAAATATATTTACTTCAATGCGTAGCGGAATTGAATTAAAATGAATTAAAATAAAAAACGAAGTGAAATGAAATGCACTGAACTGAATTGAACTGGAAACTGAACTGTTCAATAAGTCTTGTCGGGTACTTGTGTTAATACCTTGGAAAATTCGGGAGTTTTACATGTATACCAGAACTTGAAATTTCGTGGAAAACGTTTTCGCTTGTTTTGTAATGGTGTTACTCACAGTAATTTGAACTTCCTCCTGTTATTCAGAACTTCCTCTGGAATTCCGCGTAGTTACGGGCGACTCGCCTGATGCTGGCACAACCTCCCGAGTCTTTATCCAACTTCAAGGTCCTGAAGAGAACGCCGGTGAATCCCAGCGCAGGGCTTGTTCTGAACGAAGACTTTCCTCCGCTGTCTCTGAATCTACAAGCTCTGTGTCAACGAGTATTAACAATGACAGTTCCAAAGTTCATGAACCTTACATCACTCCGTACATATGGTTTGGTGAAGGACCGTTTGAGCGGGGTCGAGTGGCCACCTTCAGAATCGACTTGGCAGTTCCTGTGTGTATCAGTCCGATCGGCAAACTGTATGTTGGTCACGACAATTCGGGAGACTCACCATCCTGGTTCCTTGATAAGGTTTGTTACAATTAATTTCTTCTTGCATCTCGTTGCTCTACAATCATCATATGAGATGGAATCTTGCCTTATGTGAAATGAGTTGATGCATCCGAGTGAATGTCAGAGCAGTCACCCCGTAACGAATACACTGAGTCACATAAGCGACTGCAGGCTCAATTACCTGAATATCTACTTGTTTGGTAACTTGCTTGTTGATTCAATGACTTACACACCTACCTAACTACCTGTCTACAAACGTACCTACATATTTATTCATTCATTGATCAATTTTGTCGATTATTTCCGATGAAAATAATGACGAACATAAAAATGCGAGTGTCTTTGTGGAAGAATATACAGTACAACTTTGAACAATGGGAAAGCGTCCTATCCGAAGGTGTTCCGTTAATGGTTCATCAATCAGGCAAAATGCTATCCATAGTGCGTAACTATGTTGGCTATGGAAACACATGTAGAGAAAGGAAAGTAATACTCACTGCATTCACTAGCGCAGTAAGCAATCGCAACGTCAAGATTCGCATATCTGGCACAAGGTGTTTGTCACACAGGGCCAGGTGTGAAAGTACCGCACGAGATAGAACAGTCAACGTCTTGTAGCACGCACAAAAATGTCGTAAGTATGTAGACATGAACAAACCATGAACAAACAAGAATCACAAACTGTGACCACAGGATGTCTAGATCTAAGAGGATTGGTCGGTTAAGGAAGGCAGGTACTTTGATGTGGATTTACCATAGGTTTTCAAAACAAAATTTCAACATTACAATAATGGCACGTGATGCTATGACAAAAGCGAGACACAATTCTTCTGTGTCGTAACACTGATTCTCTTCGCTCCACACAAGGGTTCTGCGCCACACCATCATTGTTCAGCGATTCCGAACATTGGTCAGTTCAAGCTTAATGTAAGTAGTTAAAACAGGTGCCCTTATCTCCCAAAAGGTAGTGTTCCCTAGAAGGGGAAGGTGCTTTTCGAGTTTTTTTTGCAACGCGATTATGACCAGTACATGGGACAACAAATCCGACCCAACTGGGCTGCAGAATGTTCACAAAACTCTTCGACTGACCACGGTTCTCACAGTTTGGCTTCCTAAGGTAGGTTGTATTTTGCTCTGTAAATTTCCTTCCCCCACCCATCGAACAAAGAAGATGGCACATCATTCCGTTTTTGGTGATAGACTGTCTTGATGATGGCGTACTTGGCTTGAAGAACCGGCTTTCGGTTTTTTGATGAGCTTATTTGCGACTGTGTTGAGGAACAGGTTCCACACGTGTGCGACTGCCTTGGATATGTAGAAGTCCAGAAGCGACAGGAATTGCTACGTTGTTATGATGCCAGATTGCAACCCTCAGGCAATTATCAGAGGATCAACACCAGCGAGAAAGCTCTCAGAGTTTGCTTCCCACAGTATCACGGTGCAATCTGTGGTTTATTTGAACCCAACAATAGGCTTCAAACCATCTAGAGCTGTCTGGCCGATGACTTGTTCTGCACCGTTAAACGATGAATCGTCCAGGTGTGCTTGCTAGTTATGCCCACGAAACCTGGTTTTGTAACTTATAGTCAGTCTAAAGCGCAAAGTGGTTTGCATATAACAAAGTAGATAAAACTTGTCAGCTAGTCAAAAGAGCAATTGTGACTCTTGTTGTGACCAATAGGCACCGGCAGCTTTCGCACAGCCACTCACTCACTCCACGTTATGCTGAATGTAGCCCATGTGTCTGTGGTGTTAGGCCAAACTGCCGGAAACGGGCGGGAGAAATCAGCACAAATGAGTTGGATATCCATGTTAGTGCCAACGCTTTCGCAAATGTCATTTTTTCGATGGGTTACCAAGCCGGGTCTCGGTTCCATTTGATCTACGGCCAGTGGGATTTAGTTGTGACACCATCTGCGCCAGCGATTTTGTTGCGCTCAGACCCCCGAGAGGATCAATGTCAACTTGCTCGAACAGATTCTGTAGGAGGTTAGAACAGTGGATCACGTTTTCACTCGCTTATGCAGTGGAAATCTTACAGTAGCACACATTAAACGCAATGACGTAGCCTAATCTAAGTGACTGGTGCCCGAGGTCATTTTCTTCATGGTCACTTCTCAACAGCATATTAAGTAGTGTACTCTATTACGTCAGTAGGGAAATAAGCCCTTTAGAACCCCGCTGATAAACGTTTTTCTAGAAAATCTTCCTTTGTTCACATTGTGGTCCGTCCTACATTTCTTCCTGGCTCCGTAAACAAGGAATATCTCAGGCAACGTCTACAGACAAACCTTGAAAACCGTAATTATTGACCAAAATTGTAATAAAGTGAAAGTTGAAAGCTTCCATTTTCACTCCGTGTTCAACTTAGTTTAAAGAAGGTAAAACTGTCATTTAATTCACATTCGTAGTCCAAGTGTAGGCTGGGGGGTTGGGGATTAGAAATAATAAAAAATGCTGGAAAAGTTGTGTTGTTGATAATAGAAATAGAAATATCGATTGCGCAATATTGTTGGGCGTATCTGTTCACTTACCTGCCGCCCAAGCAGTCCAAGGAAAATGACAGACAGTCCCAGTAAGCTCCAGATGACTGGACAATTTATCATGATTTACGTCAGCGATTGGAAATAGGAAATAACAACATATCTCGACATATGTCTTCTTTCTGCTTTGGCAAACAGTTTCAGATTAGTTTCGTTCCAGATGGTTGATATCGTTACGTTAAAGCAGAGTATAACAAAGGCTAATACATATAAATCATATAGGGTGACTGCTAGTACCGTATAGATGCATTTTGTGTGCTATCAATATCGTTTCTGATGGCAAACGAGCCAAAGGATGAACGTCTCTTGGATGTTGAACGGGGTTATTGATTGAGCGTTACTTTGCCCAGCAATGTAATGCCCCAGCCACACAATAATAACAGCAACTTCCGCAGCTTCGTATTAACTGGCTTTCTGAAATTCATGAGTAGAGAAGACGGTAAAATTTTTAACAGGTTTAGTGTAGTGGCTATTAGTGAGGGGCAATATCTTGGAGACAAGAAGAGAGGCAGGTTAACCATGAACAATGGGCTTTCGTAATTCCATACTTTGAGAGCTATCCCAAACTGCCCCTTGGAGGGATGAAAAACAAGAGTTGGTCTCTTAGGTGGACATCTACTCAAACAGTCTGACAACCTCACACTCCTGGGTTATCGACTGTATTAGAAAACATCCGCAAAATGATGCAGAGCGGTACTCGGTATTCTCATTGGATATTTTGTGTTTTAACAGTGGTCAACAGAAATTCCATCAACGGTTGAGGGCAGTCAAACCAAGCCTTTGCCAACCTCCAGTTCGCAACAAATTGAATAAGCCAGAGAAGATATAAGACAAATTGCGCATGGCATTTAAATATAACTGACCTATTTGTATTGTTTTATTTGAGGCGCATTTCATTCTGAGGCGATGCTTTTCGAATATCTGATATTTATAAAATTCACGCTAATCAGCACTTGCAACATACGTTTTTTGGGCGGAACCTGTGCAGTAGCTCATTGATACCAACTTGTTCAGGCTCAAAAGCTATTCGCCAGCAACTCGAATAAGTTTTTATGTTTTACAACTATGCTTCCATCTAAATTCTCAATGTGAGTGAGTAATCATTCATAGTTTCTTCCAACCGTTCTGTGGCGTCGGTCGTCACCGAATATATTAGTATTTTTGTGAGACAATCCGCATTTACATTCACAGATCATTGTGGATTGTCCAACAACAGGCGTGCAGCAAACATTCCTGGGTAGCTGTTGGCTTTTGAAAGAGAAAGGCAGCAAAAAGGTGCAGAAACTACTACACGAAGATAGAAAGCAGCGAAAACATTTCGAACCAAGTAAGTACATGTAGTCTATCCTAACTAACAGGTTGTACGTGTAAACGTTATAATGGAGAAAGTGTTCTTAATGTTGGATCGGGCGCGAAACTGGAAAGTATAAAATTACCTGTGTGGTGCAGTTCTCAGGCCTCTACGAAAATGAGGGAAAATTGCAAATTTATCTGATAAACTAACCTGGCCAACACGTTGGCTACCTACTAGATATAGAAGTTATAACAATTGATGCGAGTCAAACTCTCACCTGAATTAAAATTTTGCCGATGTTCTCGATGGTTAGTTACTGAATTGTTCAAAGTGCCTCTTTTTGACGAAAAAGTGAAGGCCACTAAGCGATTTGAACGCTGCTTATAGTGGCAAAGGTTGTAACGACCTGATCCGCTGTTAACCCGCACCTACACGCCTCGAATTTATTGGAACCATCTCTCTCGGTCTGTAGGGAAAACTCTACTAACCTGAAACTGTTGCCAGTTCGTTTATTGAGAGATACATCTCACGCCGAATGCTGTTGAGACTTTATTTTTCATTTGACGGCGTAAAAAGGTTGTGACTGTTTTTGTGACTCAAGCAAGGAGTTTGGTATTATTCATCGTGTTGCAGTAGAAAGTGAAACTAAACGCCACTCTACAAGGTTTGCACAAAAAGACTTCGCCGAAAGCACACAATTTTCGAGTTTATATGGCAGAAAAATGGTTTTCACCAATTGTACAGATCTCCATACTTTCCAAAACATAACATGTCTGTCTCCGTTTCTGCATTTCTCGCCTGATATGAATATGTCGACAGTGTGGTGCGGGCTACTACATTTTGGCCTCTGAAGTATATTTTAACTCTAAGGGGTTGAATAGGCTTTCAGAATGAATTCATGGGCTTCCTGTACCTCAACCCTCCAAAATGTCCCCATACGTTCTGGTCAATCCGGGAAAATCATATCAGGACATGCTGTAAAAATCGACTACCCGCCAACAATATTACCCTTCCACAATCCAGTACTGTGAAGATGTTGAGAGTAATTCTCTAAATGAACCACAGCTAATCTCAATTTCACCAAATTCTGGCGACTTAGGATGTTATATTTTGTTATATTTTGTTATATTTATATTGTATATTGTAAATTATATACATATTATATTTTGTGAACTATACAACTGAAGGTGTTCTCTGCTTTTTATGCCTGTGGTTGCGTGAATGATTCCTGCTTTACATAAACCTCACTAAAGAAAAATTTTAAATGCAACAGTCTTTTCAAAGATTACTGTAGGAGTTTTTTGGTAAAAAAGATAGCAACGCTTGTCCAAAGATTCAACGTTTTTTACTATTCAACCTCGTCTTTGTCCGCCTTCGTCCGAAGCCAGTTCTACATCTAAAGGACAATTCAAATTCAAGTCGTGTCAAAATCCGTCTGTTTTTTTTACTAAATGTCTAGATTTATTGTCTGATAAAGTATTTTAGGGTGATGCTTCTTGATAGACTAAGTCTATCGTTTCTGACTTCTTTAAGCCTGTCCTTTTCTTCAGATGTTCTAAATAGGTTTACTTAGTACTGTTGTAATTTCTGTTGAACGTTTAATTCATAGAGCTTTAATTGTTGTGACTTGGTTCGCGGCACTCAGTGGAACTGAGTGCAATTTCAGGCCTTGTTGCTGAAGTATATCAACTGTCTTCTAGTGTTTTGATCCAGATTAACCTCATTCAAAGCACATACCAAGGTTTACGAGGATTCAGTGGTCTAAATTGGTGTTAATAAATCCTCGTTCAGCGTCAACGTCTTTTGTAGAGAAAATGCAGCCTACTGCGGAACGTCCTTGCCCGTAGAATCATGTAAGCACTATTGTGTAGAAAGCTCAAGGGCTGAAGTTTCTCTTGGTTTTTAGGATGCCCGTTCTAAGGCTCAAGTAGCCTGGCTGTATATACTTCCCTCTCTCTCATTCCTGCTTTTATAACCGGCAAGCATGAGCACTCACTTGAAGCACCCTTAGTGTCCAAGATAATCATTCTAGACAGCAAACACATGTGCGGAACTAGCTATCTGTTTGGTATCAAGGTATACGCTCTTGCGATCACGAATCACTGAGGCAGGTTGGAATGCTCCAAAATGGCCTTGTCTAGTTTACTCTCAAAAGTTAAAACCAATAACGCTTGCCACAAAATTAATATGACAGTATGGTATGCCACCCATGTGCTCAACGTAAACGGAACGATAGCTGGTTACTGGTCTTGATTGGCTCGAGACTCACCTTTTGGGTGAATCTCTAAAATGTTTGTCTTGTGCAAAACAATTTGCATGCGTAGAATTTGTCTATCGTCAGTTCCTTGAGTGAATGTCCTCGGTTAAAGAGCAATACTGATTATAAAGGTTAAATATCTTGATATTCTGAGTACTAGCTTACATGTTTTGCATCGTGTAAAGGACTTGGTGAACGATTCGTTCATCGAAAACCTGTTTGAGTCACCTAAAAGTATCAATCAAGTGTGGAAATGTGTTTTCTTAAGCCTGCTCATTGGCAAAGTTTTTTATCACTTATATTTAAAGCGTCTATCTTATGGCTAACACATCGGATTTGATGCAGACTTCCAACACCTTTTGTAACTGACAGCAGTTTCAATAAGCCTAGCATTTGTTCAGTTCTACTGATTTCTGCTTGGATATCCCATAAAATTCTTTACAGAGTGTTTGCTCACAAAATGACTACTTTCCCAAAAGCAGTAAGCAGAACATTCTCCGTCAAATGAACCTCATTTGTGGACAAACAAATTTGGACTAGTTATCGAAAATGAACAGGTCACCAACAAAAGCACATCAACAAACGGAGCATCTAATTGTTTTTGGGCCTTTGGGCCTGCTGGCCATGGTAACGGATCCTACAGTCGTAGATTGACACGCTAGGGACTTGCCGTATGAATAAATTTAACTCCGCTCCCGAATCTCATTTAAGCTGAAGTCAAGAGACGACACAGTGGAAATGCTACCATTTGTCCCAAAATTTACTAAGACAGCAAGGTTAGCTGTATTTTTCCAGTGGCCAAAACCGTCACCCATATTCCATTCACCCTACTGAACTAATGCTAATTTTATAATTGTGTTCAAATTAATTGCTTATTGCTTGATATCCTAGCGTACATTTGACCCTTCTGATAAGATCGCCTTGTTAAATTCAGACTCAGTGGGTATTGATTGGTCGGTGGATTGTTGGTAGAGTAGACGGCGGTTTTAAATCATTCGGCGGTCAGGAACAACCAGCACCTTCAATTAACATTCATAATATCTCAAGATGAGTAGTTCGTTGGTTGCCTCTGGTGATTTACCGCAGATTGCAGAGATTCACGCAACAATTGACCGGAAAAATAGCCAAATCATGTGCACCGTAGAGAACATTGCGGGGTTAATTGATCCAATAGAAGTCTTATGTTATTTTCTTTAGACAAACGGGACAAAGCCATCTCCCTCCTGAGCAGTGACGATTGTCTTTTACACAATTTTCTCCACATGTCCTGTAGCTTTGTAATGAATTAAAAGAAGTCCTTATAGACATCGTTTGCAATGAGATAAAAGATGCTCCCTCAAAGGTGGTCACGTATGTAACGACACAACTGAGAAGACAGACTTACAAAATAACACATTACCTAAAGCGAGAGAACTAGTCACCTAAAAACAGAAATTGACCAGGTTGTGCTCAAACCAGTGGCATATTACATGCTTCAACCGACAAAGTTTTCGTCGAACTCGGAAAATGAGTGGCAAAAACTTTTAAGCTTAATACCAAGCTTCATCAGCAATTGGAATACCACCTGATCAGTAGCCTTACAAACTCATGAAAGTGAAAAATGTTTAAACGTATCACCGCTTTATCAGGTTTCTTGTATTCTTTGGGTGTATAGTAGCCACATGGATTTAAATGCTGCGGCCGAACTAAATTAGCGCTTGTTCATACGGCTTTCACTAACAAGTAGTGGCTGTACGACCTACACCCCGGGAACTACCTTGTTGGTGAACCTTGCTGATGTATGGCAGGCAAGTGTGATCCCAAACGCCATAATTTGAGGCAAGCGCAAAAGAAGTGTTGCAGATGAATCCTGCAGATCAGCCAATGGTGCATGGGCAAAATTTTGCTGGGGTGTTTTTAGGTTCAAATAGCATTTGAGATTCGTAAGCTGCCTACTGGTGGTGCTGTACAACAAAGACAAAAATACAAGAACTCACTTGTAGGTTTTTCAGCAACACTGGATACTGTCCTGCTGGATGTAATCTGTCCGCCGTTTACGACATATCAGTGAATTTTAGGTTTCTATCAGTTGTTTTAAACACCTTTATTTCACCTTTGATTCGTAGAAATACCTTGGCTGCTCTCGGTCTTCACAAGTGATCGCCCTCAAGCAGACACAATCCCTACGGTTTCTATCGTGCTTTATGGTAGTAGTGGCAAAACGAAAGACATTGAACTCAACAGAACGTTGTTGGAAGATCAAACCAATTGGAATCCGGAGTGTATCGACACCGAGAAGACTTTGTTTCAACGTGGTGCGGAGGACGTGTTTCGAGTGAACCTGGAAGATATTGGTGTACCTTACAAGCTACGAGTGAGCAACAACGGTGGATCCAGTTCGTCTTGGCATCTGGATAAGGTGAGGAAATTATTTGATCCGCGTGCTTGTTACCTTGCGTTCTTGAGGTAATCGCCAGCAGGTTTGTCAGAATATTTGTGAAAAAATAAAAAAAAAGATTCATGTGTTTTCAGCAATGCTGATAACGATGGAGTTATCTAACACAGTCCATTCCTGTTTATTGAGTAAAATTACACAAAGAAGCGGAAGATACTCAGCTGCAAACCAAGTTGGAAGTGTAAACATGCAGTCAAATGTTGGGGAAGTACACTTAGATATCCCGAATTTCCCGAATGTCCACTAAAACCTGAACCACGTCAAATACTACTCATGCAGCCAAGACCAGGTTGTGCTCAAACCAGTGGCATATTACATGCTTCAACCGACAAAGTTTTCGTCGAAATCGGAAAATGAGTGGCAAAAACTTTTAAGCTTAATACCAAGCTTCATCAGCAATTGGAATACCACCTGATCAGTAGCCTTACAAACTCATGAAAGTAAAAAATGTTTAAACGTATCACCGCTTTATCAGGTTTCTTGTATTCTTTGGGTGTATAGTAGCCACATGGATTTAAATGCTGCGGCCGAACTAAATTAGCGCTTGTTCATACGGCTTTCACTAACAAGTAGTGGCTGTACGACCTACACCCCGGGAACTACCTTGTTGGTGAACCTTGCTGATGTATGGCAGGCAAGTGTGATCCCAAACGCCATAATTTGAGGCAAGCGCAAAAGAAGTGTTGCAGATGAATCCTGCAGATCAGCCAATGGTGCATGGGCAAAATTTTGCTGGGGTGTTTTTAGGTTCAAATAGCATTTGAGATTCGTAAGCTGCCTACTGGTGGTGCTGTACAACAAAGACAAAAATACAAGAACTCACTTGTAGGTTTTTCAGCAACACTGGATACTGTCCTGCTAAATGTAATCTGTCCGCCGTTTACGACATATCAGTGAATTTTAGGTTTCTATCAGTTGTTTTAAACACCTTTATTTCACCTTTGATTCGTAGAAATACCTTGGCTGCTCTCGGTCTTCACAAGTGATCGCCCTCAAGCAGACACAATCCCTACGGTTTCTATCGTGCTTTATGGTAGTAGTGGCAAAACGAAAGACATTGAACTCAACAGAACGTTGTTGGAAGATCAAACCAATTGGAATCCGGAGTGTATCGACACCGAGAAGACTTTGTTTCAACGTGGTGCGGAGGACGTGTTTCGAGTGAACCTGGAAGATATTGGTGTACCTTACAAGCTACGAGTGAGCAACAACGGTGGATCCAGTTCGTCTTGGCATCTGGATAAGGTGAGGAAATTATTTGATCCGCGTGCTTGTTACCTTGCGTTCTTGAGGTAATCGCCAGCAGGTTTGTCAGAATATTTGTGAAAAAATAAAAAAAGATTCATGTGTTTTCAGCAATGCTGATAACGATGGAGTTATCTAACACAGTCCATTCCTGTTTATTGAGTAAAATTACACAAAGAAGCGGAAGATACTCAGCTGCAAACCAATATGGAGGTGTAAACATGCAGTCAAATGTTGGGGAAGTACACTTAGATATCCCGAATTTCCCGAATGTCCACTAAAACCTGAACCACGTCAAATACTACTCATGCAGCCAAAGAATATCATAAGAGAGAGGGGTGGCTGGAATCCAACTGAGTCCCCTGTTTACTCCGAGTTGATTTGCGAATGAGTGAAATCGTCATCATTGTGAGCTATAAGAACCGCGCACTGTTTGCCCGGAACCTAACCTAATACTTGCGGATGAGCCGACTGAGGTAGTAGACTAGTTTGTTCACCGGGGCAGCTGCAACAGCGTTTGACCATTGATGTCTTCGGAACACTGTCCGAGTATGGTGAGATCACCGTATAACCAATGCTGAATTATGTCGAATGGTATTCGGAAGAAATAAGTCACCCTCGTTAGCTGAACTGACAACACAGCACAGGTTTCGCTGACTTGGCCGCGTGCTACGTATCTCAGTCGACCGACTTCCTTGAATGGTTCTTTTCGCCCAGCCACTTGAAGGGTGGAAACGACCCAGAGGAGGACGAAATTACGAACATGGCGAGTATGAATCAGAGTGAATTTTTGCTTCACCCTGCGCTGCTTTGAAACTACCCAGAAATGCTACCTTTCTCTGAGCAGTCAGGTATCATTCCAAACTCCGGTATTTGATCAGATGGCTAGGAGCCGTTCACGAAGTTTGGCAACTCTTTTGAAAACTTATCGTCACCATCCGAGGAGACATCTTCAGTGCGCCAACAGAGTATCGATCAGTGGATCCAAGCTATCATTATTCCAACACTACCATTTCTAACACTTTATATATATATATATTAACTGGATTGTAGATTCCTGATTTATAGCAGGAAGTGGTCGGTCTTCTTAGGTCAGCTTTCAATACGGAAACCCATCTTACTAAGTAGTCATAAATATCTCGTTGTATGTGTAAATCTACTGAAAAGCGAAGGTATCGTGTCATTCGAGGTATTCAGGCTTTGATATGAAAACTTCACTCCATTTTGAACGAGTTAGCTCAAATCGTGGTAAACTAAAATGGAGTTTCAGATGAGTCGCTCGCAAAACCGAATTTGCTTGCAAATGAGTGTATTTCACCAAAACGTAGTCAGTTCAACCCCATGGTTTGTTTCAGAATAAACATGATACGAATGGTTGTTATAGCAACCAGAAGTGATTCATGCCTCTAATATGTATGGTGGACGTTGGCTGTAATTTGATTTTACTGTGAAAAAACGTTTTAACCTGTTTTCCTAATATCCATATGATTCGTCGGGTCTTTTCGTGCGAAGACATCTGTGTAGGAGACACCCTGTCGTCTGTATTCTTAAGGACCTTGTTCTCCCGTTCTTTGTTTTACCGTGAAAGGATATTATCCGCCTGTACCACTAACTGAGGCAATTTCTAGAAACTGAGCAAGTCCCTCTACTCATGCCTAATCTGAATCTGTTGTTTTCGGTGAATGAGATGCAAGTTCGTTATGCATTCAGCTATTATTGTAAGGAGAAAAACCTATCTCCGTGATGTCGTTTATTAGAAAACACCAACTAAACAATGACAAACTAGTGGACAGGAAAGTAAACATCTCATACATACCGTATTTTTAAAGACTAAACATCCTCACGCGTCTTCTTGACTATCTTACAATTCTAAACGAATGCTACAAAGTAGTTCCACAGGTTCCGTACTCAGTCCCACCTTCCGCTAGACGCGGGTCGATTACGGTAAAACATCTACTACTCTGCGTCATCAGTATTATCCGCCGTTACATGAATGTTTTCCTTTTCTTGTGACACATTTGTGGGTCTTAAATAATAAAAAAATCTTAATATTTTTCATGTTCAATTAGCTACCAGTAATCACCTGTGTACTACCGATGTACATGGAAGATTCCGTCGATGCAGTAAACGCAATGTACAAGAATGTCACCTTCCGCGATAACACTTGGCGAAAACGATAACAGTCCGCCGTGACTTTCAGGTTTTGGTCCTACTGTGTTATGATCCTCTGGCAACTGGTGTATTAGATAGACTAGTGTATATGCAGTATGGAATCCTGAATCTGTTCTCAATTGTCGTTTTCTAGATTGTCTTATCCAGCTTGAATGACAACGAGGAAGAATATATATTCCCATGTAATCGTTGGCTTAGTCAAACTGAAGATGACAGCTCGGTAACACGTGAATTACCAGCGACCGGTGATCGGATTTTATCCAACCCAGAAGGTAAGTCACTCCTGGTTGTGGTCCATTCATTATCCTCTACAAACATCGAGCTTTTGAGTCGGCCTTCTTAATGCAGTTTACCGTAATGGTATGAACAATCCAGGTCAGCTGGTTGCAAACAAGTGGCGATATTAGTGGTCCATGAGCGAACCATCGTGTTTAACGCGGTAGGTACGCTTGAATTGCGATGGGTGAAACCGTTTCTTCAATCATGGTAGGAAAACTAATAAAGTATTACAAGACCAGACTGGGGAGAAGCAAGGTTCCGGGGTTTGCTTGGACTCAGCTATATTTTTTTATTATTAGGTGAACACAAAGCCTTCTGCTAAGGCATGTTCGTGGGCTTCAAAATTTGGGTTGATTTCCGTTTTACCGTTTCCCAACTTTCCTGTGGATTAATTCCAAAAGGAATGAAGAGTGGACATTTTGTCAAAACATTCGCTGGTCGGGGGTGATTACGGACTCGTTAGAAATGCCTGATGACTGGTCTGCGGTTACTCCACTAACACTCGAAAAGTCTTTTGTTAGACGCCGTCGGGTAGGTTCGGACGAGAGTGGAATGGACTCAGGCTTTGTGTTTACTGAACTGGAGCGTCGGCTGAAGTTTACACTCTTGTCCGTCTGACAATGACTACATAATCCTATGTTTATTCAACATCCCTCTCATAGTTTCAACTAGACTGGTGGCCTGGTGAGCAAAGTCATATCGTACTTTGCTTACTGCTCATAAGTGGAGCACGCAGCTGATCATTCGCGTTTCAGTTCACTTTGTAGATTTTTTGTATGCTGAGCCCGCAAGACACCGTGGAGCTTACTACCTCATGTTTGAAATAATCAGCAGTGTGTTTCATGATTCTATTGGGAGATCGGAACCTTAAGACCCATTCTCCACCTGATCAATACATACTTTTACCAAGAGTATATGACTAGGCTGGAAATTTCGCATCCATTATTTTAGCACAAGGTTGGCAAAAAGTGACTCAATGTCTACCTGTTCCTTGAATTACATCTTGCATAAAGTGTACAGAACGGATGCCAACTCGACCCATAATACCGAAGTCATACTTCGGTGTATCGATTGAGAAAAGTGGTCAGGTATGACGTTTCAGATCGAACCAAGCTGCCTAATACACCGTTTCACCGCAAACTTAAGATTAATTTGAGACCGGTCGTCGGAATTTTTTTAACCTGAATGCCCCAGTTCGAATCAGTACCGACCAATGACTTTATGCTTCGTTGCTTTAAAATGCCGAGTTGTTGGCAGGCTACATTGCTTTGGCAGTCTGTTGGCGGACGCCTGTAAAACTGTGATGCATGCCTTCGGAAAGCATTACATTTGGACAGACCTGTTGGAATAAAATAATCAGTTATCCAGAAAAGAAATCTGATTAACAGGAGTAATCATATGAATGTTAAGTTATATGCGTTTACATGTGGAAACTGTACATGCTTAAATTTACCTTCGACTGGACGGATTGACTTCAGTACATTTACAACCCGAATGTTCATCTGACTTTTAATGGTGAACTCTAGTATGTCGACGCTGAGCATTTTCCCATTCAAAAATACAGCATCGTACTTTAGAACAAAGCACTCTGAGAGATGCTGAGAAATTATATGACCGTCGATGCACAAAAGTTTGTAGAGTTGCAGAACAATCCCAGAAACCCTGATGACTGTCTGTTGGAGATTTTCCTCTCACTGAATTCCTTTCATGAAATTGAAAACGTCAGGGCCCATTTATTCATTATTCAGCAGCGAAGGTTTATGCTTGGTATCTTCCACCACAGTGCCTGAAATGGTTCATCTAAACCACAATACTTATCGTTGTTCTTCATTCCAGTGTACAAATATCGCGTCAAATTGTTTACCAGACCCAGAGCCGGTCTCGGGCTTCGTGGAAAGGTTTGTGTTAACCTGGTGGGGGAAGGTGGGGACACTGGTGACCGGTGGCTAACCGTACCAACTTCCGAGATGAAGAGTGGAGGCGACGAACAGGTATGAAAGTCGTGGGAGAACGCATCAATAATTACCACTGTTTTCTAAGCAGCTGGGTAGTAACGAAGAAGAAACCCGACCTTAAAGAAGTATGGCCATTCAGCTAATTTTTATCACTTTCCACCTGAATAACACGTTTTTACAACAAAAATCAGAGTACTGAACAGTCGGTGAGCCAGCACAGCTCACATATCAATAGGAAAAGAAAATATCATGCGTGTTATGTGCTTTATTCATACGGAATGACAATTTTCTGGACCAACCTGTTGTCAAAATAACTGATAAAATGGGTATAAAAAGGTTGATGTTTAATGACCCAACAGTGACAACCGTACAATTGGTTTTACATGTGCACAGCCTGTTCTGTACTGATAACTAACTGACTGGACTTACGATGCAGATAGGGGCTGAAAAAATTCGACGTCCGTCTTGCAAGCATGCGAGCTTTCAGAAAGCCTTTTTGTTCGGCGTACTTCGTTGATAGCCGGTTCAAATGGCCAGCCACGGTCTTCTCATTCAGGCATCAGTCTTTTTCACAACGGTATTCATTTTCCAGAGACCAGAGGACTGAATTAACCTAGCCTGACGTTTTGTACCAGTTGGTGGATGCTACCAGGAGCTTATGCCGATCTTCGGTTGCATAGATCAAATTCTACCAAAGTTCAGTCACCGCTTCTCCAAAAGCACGGAAGTCTTTGCGTCATGGATGTTCCATAGCATGCTACCGCCCGTAGACGATGACAAAAGATCTGAACTACTGGAGTAGTTGAGTTTCTGTTGCAACAGCAGACTGGCTTTAGAAGCACACTGGACGGCTCTTGGATGAGCCTGGTTAATCACTGGCCTGCAAAGATTGGGCCACGAAAATGTTGACCGGAATGATGGCCATATCGCGCATCATATCTTCGCACTGACTGATGCGAAGCAGAACCTGTTTGGTTTGGTGTTCAAGACGTCGCCATTCCAGTTCACCGTTGGTTTTTCCGTTTAGTTCATCAACAAAAGTAACTACTACCGCTAGCTCATTGCTCAAGTGGTGCACACGCTTCATGGCAGTTTCGAGACTGTCACCAACACTGAAGTCACTACAGCTGGGACTACCAGCGGGATTATTGACACCTAGGGATTCACCACCTTTGTTGAGAAATTCTTCAACAGCCAGTGAAACTGATATGAAGATTAAACACAGTTTTTCTAGTGGAGCAATGTTGGGTGCTCGACTAGGATTCGTTAGCCAAGGAAACTGGGATGAACTGACGCGTGACTGTATCGTGGCCGTCGCGTTGAGTAAACTATTTACCTCATTCTTGTTAGCGAGAAACTGTCTAAAGCTAGAATTCCATGACTTAAACCGTCCAGGGCAGAACTGACATCGGCTTTGAACAACCGCAGCTGAAGATACTGATCTAACCAGACTTAATGCCCCATTAACAAAGCAGACATATTGGAGAGCACGCTGGCAACTTGGGCAAGAACAGAACATTGAACTGACAACGCTCCTCGTATTTCAGCGGCTGAGATAACATAAACGCTCCCCTTGGCTTAACTTCATTCAAAGTCTCACTGCTTTAGACTAGACTAGACCATGACTCAAGGGGCGCATAAAAGTCTTAGCCTCACAAAATGGAGTTTTCTGTCTCCATGACTGAAGTCTGAGTAGGACAGCTGGATGTCTCTGAACACCGATAGATATGGTACGGTAGCAGGCTTCTGATCATCAGCCGAGTTTTTTTCATTCCACGGCGAATTTCCCATCTATCCAGTAATAATAAATACTGAGCGCTTCTACTCGGTTCAAGCTGCGATAAGCACATATAAGTCTACCGTTCATGGCTATTTGCACACACCTGTGATACAAACGATCCAAAAAATCCCATACAGCCATGGACGATACTACTGGAAAAGATGAAACTGAAATCGTAGCACCATTCCTTAGGAAAGTCCAACTGTATACTGACAATCTCTTCGAGTGGAACAGTTTTAATCGATCGAGTCAAACTACAGGGCGTGATCCTTCTTTCTGGAAACAAACCTTGGAGCAAGTCGCCACTAAACTTGAAGAAATAATACAACCTATTTTATTCCATTCACCATTCTTGGTTAGACCAACCGAGTGCACACCGCTCTGGATAAACGTAGAAGCTCAAAATAGCGCACAACATATTTTTGCCTTGCTGACGATTGCATCAATGAATTGTTTTCTTTGCTGACATCCATTTTATTTTATTTTTGACTTCGAGCAAATGGAGGTTTTCACTAATGACTCAGTCTTTAGAAATGGTCAGTACTACTCTACCTGCGTCTTGTGTAAACTTACCGATATCGTTGCTGCTCCCCGCCTTGCCCAAGTGACTGCCTAACTGAGCAGCAGATCAAGATTAGCGGGTTTTTAGACCGCCATGTCAAAAAGGTGAATTGATTTTTTTGTATTTAGTCGAAGATAAAGAGGAATTTTGGGAAGGATCCAAATATTAGGTTTTCACTAGATTTATTGAATACATTGTACTCCAAATGCCGGAGTAGTATTAAGTGCTGTAATAACCAATGTTTCTTGCAACGAATGCTTCGATTAAACCGTATGCAAACGATGCCACACAAACCGCTGAAAAATCTTTTTCTCTGCAACAGATGAATGAGTTTGTCATTGAGGCAGTGGATTTGAAGGCGTTGAAAAAACTCCACATTGGTCATGATGGACAGCATCCCGGAGATGGATGGTATCTTTCCCGCGTGGTCGTGGAACAGGCGAAAAACCCTTCAAAGAGCACAACGTTCGAATGTCACCAGTGAGTAAAATGATTTTCAGTGTTTTTTGGTTAACAATGCCGCTTGCTAAGGTGGAACTCAAAAATGGATGGAACAACGTGAAAAGCAATTTCTTCCAACCACATGTCTGTTGAGAAAACGTCGTTATTGAGAAGACATCTTTTTTTCCTTTGAAGATATTCTCGTGTACGTAGACTGCTGTTTAAAAACTTTGAATCGTTTAACAAACCGAAAACGAAAATTCGTTCTACCAACAACTCTGTTCTTCAATTACTTGGCCCAGATTATTGAGAACCGATAGGTTATTCATGCTTATGTCTAACAGCAAGGCTATTTTCTCATACACTTGTACGTTGATCCATTAACAGGAGCTCCGGTCATATGCTTGCAACTGTTTTTTTATAACAAATACGTTAGAAAAACAGCCTGTGAGGTTAATAGCGGTTATAAACACAGAAAATCAACCAATTTACAATTTCTGTTTATGTAGTAAGGTAATGCTTTTGTTTCGGTTGTGGATTCTGAATTTTGCCCTTCAATTTAATCGTTCTCACTTAAAAAAATTCAACACACTAGATACGCTCGCGTGGACATATTAGCCGCTCTATATTATGCTTTATTCATTTCAGATGGCTTGACGTATCGTCAGAAGATGGATGCATTATGAAGGAGTTTGTTTCATCCGGCGCAACAGAGTGTAAGTTGAGTTTAGTCGCTAATCAATGTGCTATTTCAACTTCGAGCCATCTATTTCCAAAGGATTTGAGAACAACGGAGCAGTTTTCCTATAGTTGATCACATAAGGAAAGCGCAGCCAACTCTCTGGCTGACGATAGCGTCTGCACTACCGTAGAATTACTAATCTGGATGAAGCCAACCGCCCTACGCCTTAGAGATTACTCTTGAGAACCTGTGGTATGTTAAGGTAACCAATTAGATCAATCACCACAGCAAAGGTTTTCCGCTTAAAGGGACAGTAACACAGTGCATGTGGATGCTTTTCAGCCGGCAATCCGCTTCAATCAGGAGTACGCCGTTCACAACGTCTTCTTGCTAAATGACTTCATAGGATGACCAGTCACCAGCGGATGTGCTTTCAGGGAAAATAAAAATCTCAGAAAACCAATGAGTATAAAATACTAAAAAGTTTATAGTTTCCTTGTGGAAGTTTGATGAAATACATCAGTTTCCTTTGCTGTTAAACTAAGGGAAGTGTACACCTGTTCCATCCCTGTATTAAGTCGCCAGCAGCAAGTATAATCTGGATGTCAGTCGTTCGGCTAGGCTTGTAAAATGGCGAGAACGTTCTTACCTAAAATTCTACACAATTTGGATGTCTCTTTCCATCCCTATCCAGATCCATGAGGTTCCTACTTGACTGCTGTTGATAACATTACCAACACTTTTTCCTACATCAGTGAAGCTGTTCGTAGGAGAGCCCAATGGTATGTAACTGTACTAGCTGGGATGGATGATTCTAGGTCTCTTAAAACAGCAACTTGAATACGCTGACCACCAACCATCTGTGGACGCTTTCTAATGAGTGTCCGAGGTTCAGATCCTTTTCGAAATTCATGAATTACGCAGCTCACTAGTCTTTACAATTTTGTTTATTTATCAACGAATGTAGGAGAAAAACAAAAGGGATAGATTTATTCTGTAGTTTATCCTGCAAATAAATTCAGTCTGTACTAAAAGACCAGAAAACTGTAAAGATGCTCTGTATCCCTTGGAATATAGATTTAGTAGTGAATAGTATGAGCAGTGACGTACTGAGGCTGGATGCATTTGGGCTTGGAATTCTTAAATTCTGTTTTGGATTCTCCAGTTGGATGAAGCAAGATCAGTCACGCGTCGATTTTCACCGTTCACCTCACTTGGTTGGATGGCATCTAAGAACTGAAATGCTTTTTATGGCTTAACCCATGCTATTGAAGTGGTAAGGAGTTTCGATCACCCAGGGTCAAACGGGTGTTATTATATTAGCGTCTTCATGATCCTCATTAAGAATAAGTTTAGTACCCAGACTTTTGACCCTGGGT